AATAGTATATTATATACTGAGGGACTAAAGTGTGTGTTTTAATCCCGAGGGTGCAGATTGTTGCCCGAAACGTAGTTGAGGGCAACAAGCACCCGAGGGATTAGGACGCACTTTAGTCCTGTGGTATATACGCTATTTTTTGTACTACGGTAATCAGCTACGGCAATTTCAATGTTAAAGTGCAAATTTGAAAGAAAAAATTTGATTGATTGTAGGATCAATATACCTGGTAATGTCAAATTGTGACCGTATAACGATAAATGTCAGTTTGATTTAAAGATTCTAGTTTAAAAAAAACTAGCGGGCGTACCAGAATGCCAAAAATGTACCTAATTAATCTCCAGTAGGATACATTCACAAAAAATGTCCTGAATAAGTGAGCTGTTATTAAAAAACAATTCACAGATTGAATGAATGAAATGATAACGCGCATAACGCCGAATGTAACACCAAATATCCCCTTAATTCGCCCGGGATCACTTGCTCCACTCGCTCGCCAAGCTCACTCGTGTCCGCAAACGTACGGACTTCTGAATATAGCTCATAAAGTGCTCATAATCCTATAAAGGAGAAGTGCGAAGAATATAGTCTGTCTAAAATTGACGCGAAGTAATAAATAATAAATTGGTGAAATAGAAATAGTATTTTTGTATGGAAGTGCTTCTCTGTCTCTGTCTAACAAGTAAATTTATTACTTCGAGTGCATTATAGACAGCTATTATAGATTGGAATAACAGAACAATTGCGTTACCATATCGACAGTATCCGCAACTTTTCCTTAACTTACCGATTGCAGCCGAGTACGGTACAATCATCACTTGATGCGACACCGCTGTCTTTTTTGCTTGGACGAAACTGGTAACTTCATACCCATATACAAAACGTAAGCATTTCAATGCTAATAAAGTTGTGTTCATTCCCTCTTAACCTGATGTGCAAGACCAAGAATGGTTATACCACAGATATACGTAAGGACGTAAATCTGTGATTATACTGAAGGTTTTTTTATCATTGGAAATGTTGATGCTTTCACAAGTGTTTTAGTAGATGGGTGCAAAGTTATGAGATTCGTTTAAGTTGCGAGAAGACAACTGTGTCGCATCAAGTGACGATTGTACCGTACTCGACCATGAACGAACAGTCGCGGATACTCTCGATACGGTACATACTTAGTAGTGCCTTAGTGTAAAGAATAGAGTAGTGCTCAATTTGTTTGTTAATTCCAATCTAAAACTCTCTCCTTTGATAGTATTACGAGCATGTTTGATGTTACGATGCTTATAGCCTAGTTTTAAAAGATGACAATTTTGCATGTTTGGTACGAAATGCGAATATTTGCAAAAAGTTTCCATATTTTCAACTACAAAATGAACGTTCACGCGAAATAAATGACGATAAAAGTTACGAGAATCGCGTCTATGAAAACTAGGCTTATTATTCAGAAGAGTCACGTTTGCGACACGAGCGAGTGGAGCAAGTGATCCGATTGATTGCGAGTTATTTGGGTTTTATATATGGCATTATACGGCTGTCATTTGAAATGTCTCCGATGGTTGCATGAATTGAGAAATCTAAGAATTTTTTATTTGAAAAATCTGAGTCCTTACCATTTCAATTTTGAAGAAAGATGTAGGTAGGTACCTACATTCTAAAGTTATTTAAAATCTAAAAATGGCTTAAACGCGGAAACTGTGTATAACTGGAAACATAACGCAAATCACGTTTTGTCAAATATATGTAGGTACCAAATATGACCGATGTGCTGATAGGTACAATCAGAATGTATCCCGTAACCGCTTTAAATAAATAGTTGCATTGTACCTAGTATTTATACACAATATTTTAATAAATTAAAAAATACTACAAAAAATCAATTTCGATCACTAATAAATAGAATAAGCATAAACGCAATTTAAGTTCCATCGAGGTCTCACTTAGAGCTCACAATGTACTATTTCACTCTAGGATAGTAATACAGTACAGATGAAGCCGGAAGCTGCCAATTTGACGCGTGCAGTTCGATTAACTGCAGAAGTGTTCGCCTGGCAGCTGGTGATCCATTTGTCGCCAAGAACCCGTCTCGAACGCTAACAAGGAGCTGTTCCAATTGCAATGGCAGTTCATTTTCCAAATCTCGACCAATCGAGGTCAGCACGAAAAACAGGCACTCGGTTTCGGGTAAACATTTTATGGGTGAGTGCACGCACGCCTGGCAGCACTTTGCCAGTATTGCCAGAAGAGTCACGTCCGGTTGAATGTTCTGGTACTGAAATTGATGCTTGTGTCGTTTGAATTGACCGCACATCTCAGTCAGAAACCACATAAACGCGGTAAAACGAGTTCCATCCCCCGATTTAATGCCTCTCAAGTTTCGGTCTCGTTCTTGGAACCATTGCTGACAGGTATTGATAAGAGACTCGACGAAAGTTTGATTCTTTTCCTTCTCTATTATAGAAATACATAACTTGGCGATGTTTTCGGAATACTGGATACCCTCGACTGCCTTTTCCATTATCGTTTTCACCAAATCCATGATGGTGCGCGATGATAAATGATTGGGATCTTCAATTGCGGACTCTATAATTTTCTTGTCTTCGTCATTAAACATGTCGATATCCGTATCTTCCTTCACCGAGTGTCTTAATTTCGTAATTAGTTCTTGCGCGTCGGCCGCACCTAGGCTTTTCGATTTTTTCAATGTCCCCACGGTCGGTTGATTCCAACCTCCAAAGTTGACTGAAGGATTGTGATACACCTGGGTTGGTATCATATCGTTCGTGATATGGAAGTTGACTCTAGGTAATTGGTTAAGTATGGCGTGAGTGGTAGCCGAATGCAAAATTGGAAACGGTAGGGGTGCTGGTAAAATGGAAATTAAATTTGGCACAGGATTCGGCATTTGTCTTAATACGTTTCCGGTCGATTTAGAATTTTGAAGGGGTATCGGTTCGAATGTGTGCATCAGATTGTGTGAGGATTTTGAATTCTGCAATTCATGTGCCATAGTAAATTCTTTAGCATGCACGTTAAGTTTTGCTGCATTTTGAATTAAATCTGTTCTTACATTAGGAGGTCTATAAATTTCCATCGTTGGTTTTGCTTTTACCGCTGTTATCGCTTGACTTCGGCGTTTCTGTGGATCTCGGTTGGGTTTAACGAAACTTCTTTCTCTTGATATCGTAATCCCCGAAGACGAAAAGTCCGCTTTATGGCTACGTTTTAATTGATTTCCTTGCATTGTTGATCACTCACACAAACACACGACTAAACGATAGAACTGAATACTTTTAAAGTTTAATCATAAGCAACCACGCTATGACCCAATTTGGCGATTGAAGGTTTATTTCGTCCCAATTCAAAGTCAATACGAATCTAAACACACGACGTTTCATGCAAGATAACATTTAATAATCGTTAAATAAATCACCGACTCGCTTGGGAATTTTAAAACTCACTAAGGAGAAGGTAACGAGGAGCTTGCATTATTTTTAGACCGTATATTTGTGTCTTCCGAATGTATGTACGCAGCGATTATTAATAGTTGTGATAATAATGTGTAGGTACGTCAAAATTTGCTCATAGATGTCCTTTAAATAGTTGCAACCGGAAATTAATTTTAAATTCTAATATTTTATTGACGTATATTAGTTGCGCTTCTCCTACCTACCTTGTAATTAAAGGATGTATGTATATGCCATGCATTGCACTGCGCTAAACGGTATACCTAAATCAAAATAATTATGTGGTGATGTAATCTATTACTATGCGCATAATATAAGAACACCTACTTCAATTATTATACTTATATATGTCGCAGCCGTTTAATGAAATTGGACATTTCATGAAAAGTCTAGTCCGAGGCCTAGTCATTTAGTGAAACGCTGAAAATTTGTACGTGTGGGGTAATTTCCCTTCCCCTTCTAGATCGATAAGGATACCATTTATCGATCTCTAATGGGAAGGGAATCCAATCGCTTGGTCTTGGAAAGTAAACTGTTCCACAGTTTCATATAAATGACTAGACTTTTCATGAAATGTCCAATTTCATTAAACGGCTGCGACATATACATTTTTCTTCAAACGTCATATAATATTGACATTACGTAGCCCAGCACTCTGAGTTAAAGTTTGACTTTTTAGAACAATCGAACAAGCGGCAGTGAAGTATTTTAGTGCCTAGGCATTAAAACGCTTCAGTGCCAGTGTCACATTGTTTTGCTTTGACAAGTTGATGTTATTTACATTAGGTTCTTGGTTCACCTAGCAAGTGCGTTGATCTTTCCTTCTGATTTTAACAGAAATAAAAATATAGTCGATCAAAAGAAGCTATTTATTTATTTAAATAATAGTTAATGTTGAAAGTTCAGTTAGTCATATTACCATTATTGAAATTAAACCTTCGTTCCTGCAGCATCCAAGTTTTGAAGAGTCAAGTTTTGTTTGGCTCGTCTTATTTCTAATGAATGAATGAAGTATTTTCAAAAAAACTGGATTGGTTTCTGCTTCAAATGAAGGAGTAGTTGAAGTCATTCCATCTGATAAACCTGGATTTTCTAAAGTTGTCGAAAGTATTTTTTGTGCAATTTCATTTTTATTTGAAATCGAAAAACTCGTCCACAATTAAAACGTCAAAACTAATAATGGCCAACTATAGCAATTGTTATAGTCACCACGGCCGACGCGCTCACGGCTACCCATAACGATCGGGTTAATATTTCTTCCGATTTGAAAACCATTATTTGGGCGTTATTCTCACGTTTGAAGAAAAAATAGCATATATTATGCGGAGCTAAAGTAACTTCTTATGGCTCGTCAGTATTTTGCTGGCCTCGCTTCGCTCGGCCATCAAACACTGACTCGCCATAAAAAGTATCACTTTAGCTCCTCATAATATAATATACTATTTTTTGGCGTTCTATATCAGTTTATCAGTGTACTGTGGTGCAAACTGCGTTTGTCTCCCTCCGTCTGATCCTGAATCCTGTCCTGACTCCTGATGTGATCGTCATCGTCCAGACAATGTGCACAATAACGCCCTACCATTCGGAAACTTGGAACGAAGATTGTTTAGATTACAATTACCCAAATGAGGGAAAATACCCACACAAATCGTCATCAAACGGGGTCTGCGCGGATCCCAAGATTTTTTGTTCACATCTTATAAGTAATATTATAGTATTAACAAGTTATTTGTATTTATTTATTTTTAAGGGGTGTATAGGATTAAACGAATGGTGTACATATACTTACCTACTTGAATTACTACAAGGTACAAAATTAGACATAGGTACTTAAGTAAATAATTTTGTTTATGAAAATTAGATGTGCATTGTTAGAAATTTGGAATCAGACAAACTAGCTTACACATGGCCGCATTTGGGAGAGGACAGGCGGGGCTACGGCCCCAATAAAAGCCTCCACAAGAGAAGAGATACTTTTACGTTTTTGTCCAAACAGTCTTTTTTCGCATTGTTACTGACAATACCTAGGTACTACCATATTTGTTCACTTCAACACATCGATAGGTATATCAGAAAGCCCTGATTGCAAGTTTCCATTTTCTATCAATTTGTGTCATTTTTATTTCAAAGCCCCGAAAGTTCAGTGTTCGATTCTTCAATTCGATTTGTCCTCCTTGAAATCGATATACAGGCTGTTCTTAAATATGAAAGGGGCTAATTCTTTGGCTTATTGTATGACTAAAAGTTCATATAAACATACGATTCGTCGTTACTGATCTACAGGGATTTCACCGTACACTTTACAAATTAGAAAATTATCTCTGAAAAAACAATTGACCCTGTATAGATTCTCATTATCATTCTCATGTGACATGACCGATGATGTAAGCTCTTCAGCGTAACTTGTATTTCTTGTATATCTCAAAAAGTGGAGGAGCTATTATATGGGTTTGTAGAGCAGCCTTGGCTGAAACCCCGCCCACTCAAAAATAAAGGCAAAATTGATACTGATACATTAACACCCTACTGTAGACCGGAAACGCAGAGTTTGCGGACCTGCGTCAATATGAACTTTTAGAGATAAAATAAGCCAAACAATCTCTTTCGTATTTACTTAGATTAGAACTACAGGTTAGTCGGTTTAGTATTTTACATTTTAATTGAACTTTCCTCTATATAATACCATAGACCACAGAGAATACGCAGCACTTTTATGATTTTTAATTAATCTTCATATTTATTTGTTAACTGAGGTTAAACTTAAACTATTGGTATTTAGAGCCAAGTGTTGTGATTGGTTTTTATATCGATTAAGATCAGCGATAAAAATGCACGCAGGAATGCAAAGTGTTTGGTGAAATTTACTGTCTTGTATTAATCTGTCTAAAATACACTCGATCTTGATTTTAAACAATTTTATTTTTAATTCACTTTCGATCTCTCGATCTTTTATCACGCTTTTGATCTCGAATTTCTAACTCAACAAAACTTTCGGGTAAAAACAAAATTACGCGATAAAAAATGAAGATCTTGTGTATTTACCCCCGAAAAATTAATTTCATTTGCTATGACGAAAATTATTGTTGATATTGTAAAGAGTATTCCAAACATCGGGCCCTCCATCGGGAACCATAAATTATTATATAGTCACCGGCGATAAGGAACGAAAGCGGATATGACGCGTTTTTTCCGGGAAATGCGATGTGCCGACTTCGCAGGCATTCGGGAATTTTCGATAACGTTCCGGAATTTTTCTAGAAAGTGTTCGCTTGTTACATAAGCAAATTGTAGCATGTTTAATGGAAGTTCATGATACAAATGACTGATAAAAAATAAATAACTGTGCGCACTGAGAGGTCCCATCCTGTATATACAACCTACGATGATGTACACATTGTTTGAAAGCGGGCAACCGCGCGACTTTTTAGAAGGGAAAAGCTGTCTGCGCCATCTGGAGAGCACCAAACGCTGGTTACGTTTGGCATCTTATTAGTAATGGCGGTCACTAAAGGATCGCTACGTAAATGTTGTTATTTATACATAGTATAATTGATTTGTGTTTTGTATGCAACGTTTTATGTTTTTTTTTTACAATTTTTCATCTTTCTTTTTGCAATTGACTTGATTTAACTTCAATGTAGAATCATGTATTATTGTTTGAAATCGCACTCATTTTTGGTGTAATGTTTGGTAAATTTTTATTTATGTTTTGATTACATGGTCTGGTCTGAAATTTCCTGAAAGTAAGCATGAAAATGAATGTTTCAGGACGATTGGGGGGGGGGGGGGGGAGTTATTACGTGTTGTTGTTCTGTAAATGCCTCGATTCAAGAGACAATTGTTACGAACGAAATCTGACTTTTAATTTTGTATAAAGTTTTGTATAAAAGAGCGCGTTTCTTCTTTCTTTGCGTGCACTTTTTGTGGAACGTAGGTAGGTATACGGATTACGGCAGGGCTTGATTTTATGCCGTTACCAAATTTCGAGTTGCTAGACTTCTACAGTTTTCAATATATTTAGTTCGTTCTTTTTAAATTCGGTAGCTTATAGCTCTGGCACCTGAGCCAAGAAAAATCTCTACGATTATTGTTCGTATGCGCAGGCTGCGAATTATCAACTTTCTTATTTACGAGTTCCTAGCGAGTTTTTAATTTTGCGGTGTCTGTCCGTCCGTTAGCACAAGATTGTAGATCGGAGTTCGTGAATTGGCAATGTAGACCACACAATAAAGTAGGCCCTTTTGAGTTATGAACCGAATTGCATGAAATTCAATATGCTTATAGCTTTAACCATAGAAAACGCAATTCCAAAAATTGAGCCTAATCGATCAACATTCACAGTGCCCTTTTCGCATCTCGACCATTTATAAACCGAATTGCAAACTTTTTTATTTATGAAGGTATTTAATAGTTATTTATGCAATGAGTGTATAAATGAGGCGTTTTATTGGTGAGTGAGATAAATTCGAACGAACCAATAATCGCCGATTTATACATGAATTGCATACAACGTTTTTTCGTCGACTTCACTGGGGTAGATAATTACTACTACAAGAAATTACAAACGAAATTATGATGAGCTCCGACGATTTTTCACTAAATTACAGCTATTGTCGTTGCTATAGTAATGTGTTGTTTTATGCTGTACCGTCAGTCCTCGTAATCGCAGTGGAAGATTGTGTTGCTTGCTCTGCTGCGGAGACGATTCATTATATCCACTCAAATCAAAAGAAACTTATTAGAACGGTTTCGATCAGTTCGGCAATTGATGGAATCCAATGAATTTGTAAGGAGATATTTCCGAAAATGTCACGTTGACATTTTACCTTGAAAAGGTATGTGAAATTAGAATGTAATTAATTCTTTTGCAACTGTACTAAAGTACGTGTATTAACAGTGAAAGATATGGAAATGTTCATCCCTGTGGTCGACGTACTCAATGTTGAAGGTAAAGTAACTGAATACCGTAACAATACCTTATCCGAGGAGCTACACATACATACATCAGGATATGCTTTGCTGAGATCGTTTGGCGACCATACTGGCTGCTGATCTCACTACATTAAAACCGAGATTAAAATGGTTAGATGGATGGAAGTTCTCAGCTGTTGCCGAAAGTGAATTGTTATATAATTGTCATTTCCCTTTAATAAAATGGTTGTTATGTATAAATGGTTGCTAACGATTAATGGTTGCTAACGTATAATGGTTGGTTGCTAACCATTAATGGTTGCTAACGATTAATAAGCTTCATCATTGTACTCGTCACTAAGGAGTAATTTATATTGTTATCGAGAGGTCGACGAAAAA